TTTTCTCCCTCCTAAAAACTTGTAATATTTCTTGAAGGGGAATGGCCAGACTCGGAGGCTATGTTCCACAAACGTTGAGGCATCCTGTGGCTTCTACTGTTCTTCTTACTGCTGTGGGCTTGAGATGACATCTAGTGCCTTAACAGTTTGTCATCAGCAATTGGCATGGATAGCTGTCTTGTTTCTACTGGTGCTAAATAGCAACTGAGGTTTTGTCAACCCCGGACTGATATCACTTACCAGCCATCACGTGATCCTTATAACTTTGTCGTAACAAAATCGTCTTTCGCATCCCTACAATATCAAGTCAAGTGACAGTGCTTTGGATGACTTAAATATTTTTTCTTACCTTTATTTCCGAAAATGCGCATTAGTATTGACGCATACAGGATCCCCGCTCTTTCTCTCTTTATATAATGTATGCACACGCACAGATACGTGATGTTACTTCTGTAAATAGGTGCTATATTAATGTAGCCTTGTACCAAACTTGGTTCTTTCTAACAAATGTTCTATATGGGAGAGCTGAAAAGTTCTTGGCCCAGACATCTTAACAAAATCTGATCAAACATCAGATTTATTTTTATCTTCTAGGGATTCTTGCTCAGGCTAACAACTTTTCAGTGGCCCTTACATATATATAAGATTGAAAGAAAACTTCTGTTAAGATGTATAATTGATATATATATAATTGACGTACATTTTAAGTGTCATGATAATAGTCTCTTATTCATTGACATAATGACAATGAACTGACAAGTTATCATTGCCCCGGCCATAAATTTCTTTGAATTTTTTGTTTGTTTTTTTTGATATTGACCTCTTCATAATTGGTGTACATTTTCCAGTTCAGAAAGTCCCATAAAGATCCCAAAAAGTGATTACCTGGGAGAATATGGTCAGAAGAGTAAATTGGATGAGGTAAAATTTCCATCTGTAGAGCCAATACCTTTACCTGCTTACCATCCATCACATGATCCTTATAACTTTAATACCTTTGCCTGTTTGTATTTCGCAACCTGTAGCCTTGTGTGGTCATATAATTGGTCGGTGAAGTTCACTTTTTCAATGAAGATTTTAGTAGTACTTACCATCGGCAATATCAGCAGAATTGACTGTTTCATTGTAATTCTACATTTCTGTTATAAATGACATAATCCCACCAACCGTCCTGGGTATGACAATAACCTACATCCGTGTCCAGGGTAAGACGATAAACTATGTCCAACAGCAAGGCCTCTAATCAGGAGGCTTTGAAGAGTGTGGAACCACCTCTTAATTGCTGGTGTGCCCAGGTCTACCCTGACCCAGGGTGGTAGCACCTGTTAGGGTCCCAGCTATGGGCAAATAGTTAACCCAGAAACTGAGGTAAAAAAACATTATGAAAGTGTAAAAATAGGTTTTAATTCCAGAAATACTTTGTAAAGTTATTACCAGAAATAAATTTTTGAAGAAAAAAAGTATTACCAGCAATACAATTTTGAGGAAAAAAATATTACCAGAAATAGATTTTTGACAAAACAAAAATATTACCAGGAAAAAAAAAAGTTGTCGTCAGTAAATGACCCATTGAGGTTGATATGTCATAAAACAAACCAAACCAATAATCCCACCAAACATAGAGAATGATTTTCTTTGGTTGTATTCCTGGGGTCTTGAGACACATACAGGCTTTTCTGTGGGTTGACATTGTCTCTTTCACTTAATGATTATAAAGAACCTACTTTTCATCACTGATCTTTTGCAGTAATGGTTCAAGACCTTAATAAGGAATAGATATTGACTCTTGGAGGAAGTTATGAACCAACCAAATCTGAAGGAAATCACTGATCATGTTTTTACACTTTATCAAATTCACAAAAATAGCTTATGTTTGTTTTATTGAAATTTTGTGCTACATGTTGGATTACGAAATTTGAAGTCAGTTATCCAGAATGCAGGGGATCTTTGACTGTAAGATTATCTGAATGTAAATGAATAAACCATTGCAGGCATTTGCTGACACGTATGACTTGATTTTTACAGACAGAATAGATATTCATCACTAAATCTGGAGCTAACGAATCCCTTGTTAAATATGCAGCATTTCAACTGGGCCTCATCCACAGTCATTTTATTGGTTTAATTAATTAAAAAGTTTATTCAACTTGACATAAAATATTCCCCAAGAAGTAGTAAAAAGATCAGAAAATGAAATTACATACATAACAAATGGTAACGTTGAAATTAGCTGTTTGCTTATGAGGAAACATTCATCATTCATTGGCCAAACATTTAGCATTACTCATTTGAAATTTATAAAATAGTTTTCTTTTCATGTCCATTAACTGTTATTGCTCTTTCTAGTGTTGATGGGGTTTCCTTCCTAACTTTTTGTTTCAGGTGGTGTGGAATGTCAACATCTTAATTATGTCATTATTTTCTCTTTGAGTTACATGTGCTGTCCATTTTAGTTCTTGTTGTTGTGGAAAGTTTTCGAGGGATGTGTTTTTTTTTATTTGGTTAACATCTTCAGTTGTGATTTTGTAGCACCAGCCTGTAGGCTCTGATGAAGGATTGACTGCCTTTAAGATCTAACGAAATCATTTGATTGAAACCATTTTGAATTTTTGATCTTAGAAAATGATTGTATAACAGTTTAGACATTTCTCCAAATGTGTTTGACAAAGAACAACTTTAAATAATTGTTCATATTTAATTACCATAAAAAAGTTTCAAGAAGCCCAAGGAAAAATTTTGTAGTTTTATTTCCTCTTCTCAAAATGGCTGCCTCTCTGAAGACACACATAAAGCAAAGAGCTCTTATTGAAATTCTGGAGAAAATGTCCCAAGCATTCACAGGATGCTAGTGAATGATTTTGGAAAGGCTTCACTTGATGTAAGCACAGTAAGAAGATGGGCCAGTACTTGTCTGCGCAAAGGCTTATGCAAAATGGGTTCCTGGAATGCTGACAGACTCCATGAAAGAGAAGAGAGTGGTTGCTGTCGAAAGAATTCCAGGTTTCAGAAATATCACCTTCAGAGTTTCACTGTTCAGTGGTTTTCCAATAAAAAGATGAAGAGTCAATTTGCACCTGGCTAAGGAAGGCTGGTATATCTGCCCTCATTCAAAGGTGGAATACCATCATTAAGAAGGAAAGAAACTATGTTAAGGATCAGATATGGAATCCTGAGAATATTGTTCATTTTGGTTTTTGTGTGATTCTAAGATTAAATCACTTGTATTAAAAAAAGAACTGTCATTTATTTTTGACTGACACTGTATTTGTAGTGATATGTAATTTGATCACTTTATTTTTAGTGGATACCGATATTTGTGTAGATGCTACATATACATTGTCCATAAATTGTCAAGAAGCTTGAGCGGAAAATTTGTGGTGTTACCTTCACTTTTCCTACCCATAATCCTTTTTCAAAATGGCTGTCTCCTCTGGGCCCACCTACAAAGCAAAGAGTTATCATAGAATTTTTGTTTTTGAAAGGACAAAATGCTGCATACATTCACACAAGGTTAGTGAATGTCTATAGAAAGGCTGCACAGTAAGAAGATGTGTTTGTAATGTTAATGGCAATCCTAGAGAGAAAGGAGAAACTATTTTTTGGTGGCAGGCCAACTGCTGCTGTTAATGAGGATAAGGCCAAACAGGTTAATGCTCTCATTACAAATAATAGAAGAATCACTATTACAAAACTCTGTGAAAGCCTTCAGGTAAGCCATGTTAGTATGTGATTTAATGCAGTCTCTTGGCTACTCAAAGGCCTATGCAAAATGGGTTCCTGGAATGCTGACAGACTCCATGAAGGAGCACAGGATGTGAAATTTAGTCAAGAGATCATCTGCTACTGATGTTTCTGCTCTGTTAAGAGCCAGAGAAAATACAGCAAATTGACATCTGACCTAATTTCTGATATTACTTGTACCCCTACCATGGTCTTACTTCCAATTATTGTAATGAACATTTCTTCAGACTGCTACCAATATCTGTCTGATTATTAAAACTTTTTGCTTGAAATTGGCTAAATACCAAAGTACTCACTCATCACTCAAAGGAAAATAAATTACACTATTTACATTATTCGGACTATTGTCCTTATCTTTGTCGCCATATTTATTACAACGTTTTGGCCATTGTATGCAGCCTTCTTCAGGTGGTTGGAATGTCAAACTGAACCTTTTATTTCTCTCACTGGGGTAGACTTATCTAGTTCCACATACCATGTTTAATGGATGTCAGTTATCAGTTATCTCCTGTTAATTCCCCTCTGAAAATTCTCCACTGCCTTAACTGGGTATTGAACTCATGCTCTTTGGGTCCTGTCACTGGATCTAACTAACACCTTTATCCACTATGCCATGTGTCCTTGAGGACACCTGTGACAGGACCCAAAGAATGTGAGTTCAATATCCGGTTAAGGCAGTGGAGAACTTGGAGAGGGGAATTAACAAGAGATAACTGATAACTGACCTCCATTAAACATGGCACGTGGAACTAGATAAGTCTACCCCAGTGAGAGAAATAAAAGGTTCAGTTCAACATTCCGAAGGCCGTAGCGTACAATGGCCGAAATTTTGTAATAAATATGGCGACAAAGATGAGGATACTAGTCTGAATAATGTAAATAGTGTACATAATACCTCATCTCAGAAATATAGACAGATACTGAAAATAAATTAATATTATTTTAACCCTTGAGTTAAGATTATATTTATTCCCAAAGTTTCTGATAAAAATAATTATCCTACTACCTATCCATACGGGAAACTTTCATTATATGACCCCATATGCCACACGGGTAACTTTGTGATGTGTTATGAACACATGCACTTCTGATGTGAACGCCTATGCCATAAAATTTCCTTCATTCATTGCTAACATAAAAAATAGAAATTCTTGTATTTCTCACCAACATGGTATAAACATTTTGAAATTTTTTTTTTTATTGCAAAAAAATGCACTTTTCTTTGACTGCTAGATATAATTATCTTTTATTTTTTCCAGATATTCTCGTAGCTGGCAGGCAGGCGGTGCATTCCTCATGTCGCTTAGTCTCTTTGACTTTTGGCAAAACAAAGAGAAAGCTACGTCCGAAGATCGACTTAAAAGATTAGTGTATGAAGCGAAGAAAGCTCAAAAGGACGGCGACCTGTTAAAAAGTGAGAAATTCTATCATGAGGCCCTCAATTTAATCAAGCAAAGACACCAAGAAAAGGAAATAGATGATGATGACCATCTTCAGGCACGGACCTACATCTTCGATTGCCTTGCAAACTTGGCTTTCAGTCAAAGAGAATTCAATAAGGCCGAAAGGCTGTATAAAGAGACCATCAAAGGTTGTGTTCAAGCAGGAATGCATCACACTGGAAATGTCATTATTGAAATTTCCCTTAAACTCGCAAATATCTATGCAATACAGAATCGTCCGGAAGAAGCCGTTACTGGCTTTGAATTTTGCATTAATGCTCAGAAAGAAAAGAGTGAATCCTCAGAAGAAGAATTCGACAAAGACACAGAGGCTCTGCTAGGTATGTCTTTGGACAGTTATGGTCGATACCTGCTTCATCTGGGTAATTATAACAAAGCTGAGGAGATGCTTAAAGACTCCTACAAAATTGCCCTCAAGTGTCTTGGTGAGAATCACCGTCAAACTCTGGTGATTATGATCAATTTAGCCGTCGCAAAAATTTTCAAAAAAGACTACAGTGTGGCCGAGGATCTGCTTCTGAAAGCTATAAAGGTTGGCACTGAAATCGATGCGGAAGAGCTCCCTGCTCTCTATTGCAACTTGGGTGCAATATACCTTGCCCGTCAGCAAATGACCGAAGCCTACGATGCTTGCGTTAAAGCAATGGAAATGGCCAAGCAATACAAAGATAACTTTGCTGTCAAAAAGGCTAAAATTTGTCTAGACAAAGTGACCGGCTCACATAAGGAAAAATTGAAAGCAACTGAGCAAAAAAAAAGTTGACAAACTTAGTTTTTTAATAATTGTCTTTCCGTTTTGTTTTTTTAAATTTCTTTCTCCTTTTTGTTGATTTTTATTTTTTTGTTTCTATTCTTTTAGGATGGATGCTTAAATATTGAGGTGGAGTTTAATTATGAGGAGAAAAAACATTTTTTTTCTTTTATTTCATAGCAAAAATTCTAAAAAAAAAATTTATTTAAAAAAAATATTAGTCAAACTTTAAATTATATCTTATTGTAGACAAGCATTTTAAATAAACACATTTTAAAAATCTTAAGTTGTTGAAGCCAGAAAATCAATCTGCAAATTCAGTTTAAAAATATTTGAGTTTTGAATTTCATTTAAAAATATCTTTCTTTAGTGTAAATGGTCTAAAAATAGTAAATCTTTTTCTCTTTGTTTTTTTAGTTTACTACCATAAAACCTTTGCTATAGGTTTTTCTGTTAATTTTTATTTTAGTCTAAGAATTTATTTTAATATTTTAGTGGCTAAAAATATTGAAATTTTATATGAAAAATTGTTTTAACAACTTTTCATATAAAATTTCATGCTTGTTGCAATATGGTATGAGTTGAGGATTGAATAAAATTTTTTGTCTCAAAAAAATTTTGAATTTTAAAATTAGTTTTTTTCTTCTATTCTCAAAACTAAAATAAATTGAAAAGAAAATAAAGATTTTCTTCTTTTCAAATGAAAATTTATAAAAACAATTTGTTCAGTTTTATTTGTATTTCTTAAACCTAAAAACTTTTAAAAAATATATTTATGCTCTCTGCTTAAGGCTAAAAATAAATTAAAAAAATAAACAAAAACATGCAACTATCAAAAACTTATTAAATATATTCAGGAGAGAATTTTTAAGAAGCAACTTTGTTCATAAAATTCCCTTTTTCTTCAAAACATTCTTATCTCTTGCTTTTTGATAATTAAAATTACTCAGTGTAAGTTTTTGATATTTTTCTGCAGTGCTGGCAAAAGTTTTTAAACTAGGCATATAAACAATATGAGATATATATATATATATATATATATATATATATAAAAATGACCAAAAACCTTACTTGCACCTAACATATCACTTCATTCTTTTCTTTCTATTAATTTAAAAAATAATTTCCAAAAACTATTCCCAAAGATAATAGAAAACAAAAGTTACACCATGGCAGTTTTTTTAAAGATTGAATCAGGTTTTATGCTCTGTCTACCATAATTGGCGCTGTACATTTTGGGTGGTTATAAGCATTTTTTGAATCCTACTAGTAAATAGGTTTCTACTCTCGATTTAACTTCAAGTTTTCTGAGAGCTTTCAAGGTGTGTATACCATTGTTTGTTTGTTTTTTTTGTTTTGTTTTTTTTTTAATCTGTAAATGTTGGCAATTAAGTAGGGGGCCTTACTGTTGTTTTTCATCTTTGTGATGTTTCCTTTGCAATTTGCTTTATTTATGTTTCTCAGGGCTTACGGCCTTGTCCTGTTGAAAAAAAATCAGTTCTTGTACAATCACCGAAGTTAAGCAACACCAAACCTGGTCAGTACCTAGATGGGTGACCACTTTGGAATTTCAGGTGGCGTAAGCTTGTATGTAATGTGTGGCTGGCATAATGGATAACGGCTTGGATTTGGAAATCTGAGTGCCAAATTCCAATTCCAGTTGTGTTCGTTATATTTACTTACATGCAAATTCTCTTGGGAATGGTATGAATTTACTTCTTCTCTTTCCCCTAGCTATGGGTTAATTAGGAGGACTTGTCCCAGTAAATCATTATTATCTCCAAAACATTTTTTAAAATCTAAAAATTTTTTCTGGCTTTAAATAACCTACAAAAGGTTGATAAGCCATAAAAAAAAATTCAGTCTGACTAAAAAGCTTTAAAATGTTTCAGAAATTTTCTCTAAAAAGTTTAAATTTGTATTTACTCAACCCCCCCCACGAGGTCAGGTTGTGACACAAGGTCGGTTTAATATGGTGGTCCGAGTGCGTACACCCGGGCTAGGAACAAAAATTGCCTGCAGCCCCCGCAACTGTTGGTTGCGCTGGCCTCGGTGTAAGCACCGATCCCTCTCTCTAGTGTAATGAGAGGGCGCAGCCCCAGGCAGCTGTCCCCAGGGCTGGGCACCTCTCAGTATAATTTTCCTCAGTTGCAACTCTGTCCTCTGACGGAGTTGCCCCTGAGTGCACTCTGCTCAAAAACAGAGATGCAACTGAGAGATTATAAATAATGTGTTACAAACTACTCGAGAGAGTAATTTACACCCTAAAATGTTTAAGTTAATCAAAACTTATTCTGTCTTCGTCAAAACAGCTGAAGATTAAATTAAATCTCTTTGAAATTTTTTAATCGAAAAAAGAAATTAAAAATTCTAAAATCTATCCATAGAAATTATGTCCTTGTCTTGAGATACTATTCTTTGCACATTTTATATGAGGAATATATATTCTGTAAAAATACTATCAGAACTAGTTTTAATTTGGCTTTGAGAATTGACTAAATTTCTTCAGTGGATTTTGGTATAAAATTGAATGTCCTTAAAAAATATAAGTCTTTTTTTAAGCCATATATTTATAAAAGACAAATTAATCTGCAATAATTTTTATGGCTAACTTTAGTTATTCATGAGTTAATGGTTTAATCTTTGCTGGGAATTTTTTTTTTTTTTAAGTGATGCAAATTATTTGTATCCCTTATTTACAGAATCTTTCTGCCTATTGCTTATATTGAAAAGTTTGTAATCAGTCTAAGTATTTGAGACATTGATTCTTGTAAATGATCTCAATGAGAAAATAATTAAAAAAAAAAAAATTGTTTTCTTCAGCCAATTTGCAAGTGTGTTCAAATTTGAAGACTTCTTTAACCAAAATGATTCTTCTGTCCAATTATACCAATAACTCATGGGGTGTATGCCCCACTGGTGCAGCATGGTAATATTTTGGTGGGGTGTGCATAGGATGTGCACCCTTCGGCTTACTATACCAGTGTGAACTAAAATTTCATTTTGCACTATTATTTCATGATTAAAATGATCAAAGTATATGACAGAATAAGTTTTCATTCAAATATTTTATATTTCTGCCTTTCAGTTCTTTATTATATGTTTTGAAACTATTTATATTTAACTGTCTTTTTGTTTTTTTTTAACTTTTCTCTTTCATGGATGCCATGGTCTTTGGAGGCTTGTTTAGAGACCAAGGACTTTTAAGCTTCCTTCACATGAATTGCAGTAAAATTTTGAATATTTAAGAATTAAATATTACAGGGGAGAGAGGTACCAGAATTTTAAAAATACCAAAATCAGTTGGGAACCCCTGAATTATACATATTTTATTTCATTTTTTTCTCTCCTGAAATGACCAATGTGCATTTATTTCAGTATCTGTCTATATTTCTGGAATGAGGTATTATGTACACTATTTACATTATTTGGACAATTGTCCTCATCTTTGTCGCCATATTTATTACAATGTTTCAGCCGTTGTATGCTCTGGCCTTCTTCAGGTGGTTTGAATGTCAAACTGAACCCTTTATTTCGCTCACTGGAGTAGACTGTTCTAGTTCCACGTGCCATGTTTAATGGATGTTGGTTATCAGTTATCTCCTGTTAATTCCCCTCTCCAAGTTCTCCACTGCCTTAACCTTGAGGACACATGGCACAGTAGATAAAGGCATTGGTTAGATCCAGTTACAAGAGTGAGTTCAATACCCGGTTAAGGAAGTGGAGAATTTTCAGAGGTGAATTAACAGGAGATAACTGATAACTGACATCCATTAAACATGGCACATGGAACACGAACAGTCTACAAAAATTGCAATATGAGCTCTGGTAAAAACATAATTGATAGCAGCAAAAATTGCAATATGAGCACTGGTAAAAAATTGTTGCTGAAGAATTAGGTTTATAATACCCAGAAATTCATACACAGATGTCCTCAAGGACACATGGCACATTGATTAGATCCAGTGACAGGACCCAAAGAGTGCAAGTTCAATACCCGGTTAGGGCAGTGGAGAACTTGGAGAGGGGAATTAACAGGAGATAACTGATAACTGACATCCATTAAACATGGAGCTAAAGTGAATGAAATAAAGGATTCAGTTCGACATTCCAATCACCTGAAGAAGGCTGGAGCATACAACAGCCGAAATGTAATAAATATGGCGACAGTGATGAGGACAATGGTCCGAATAATGTAAATAGTGTGCATTTCTTTCTTTTTTTTTTTTTTTTTTATCTTCAGCTTTGGGTTTTTCTTTAAGGTGGTAAAGTTTCTCTTTTCCTTTTAAATTTTGTTGAAAGCAACAAATGTTCCGAAGCCATCAACCCTTTGGAATATTTGATTCCTCTTCTTTTTTTTTTTTTTTTTTTTTTTTTTTTTTACTGCCACTTTTCACAGACATTTTGTTTCTGTTCATTTAATACAACATGCAATCTTTACTCTCTTTCCTGCACAATCCAATAGATTGCTTTGTTTATGAAAAAAGAACCCAGCATCTGTTGTAACACAAAATATATTTTTATTTCTATTTAAAGGTACACATTTGCATGCATCAAACCCATTAGTTTGTTCACATAAAATTAAATAAAGTATGTATTGCACATTTTTAGGGAAAGATGTGAAAAAAGTTGTGACACATTTTGTCCTTTAGGACTTCATCAGACTAAAGTGATATTTATGTTGATATGACTACACATATGTATGAAGGAGAGGGGACACTGAAAACTTTAAATTTCAATTATTTTTTTTTTCAAATATATGTATTTCATTTAGTTTTATTTTTTTTTTTTTTTTTGCTTATGTTTTGATAATCTTTGTTATTTAATATCCCTCATTGTATTAATTTATTAATTAATAATTTATTTATGTGCCATGCAAAGCACTGTTGAAAGTGGATGTAGGAGAGAAGACAACACAAAACCGGTTGGACAATGTCAGTTGACAGGTATGACTGTACCAGAATTGTTGATGGCTGCCGTTGATAGACTGTTGTGAAAAAGAGTTAATATGG